AGAATCGACCTGTTCCGCGCTGTTATCGTTGCTGGTTGCGCATAAATTAGTCAAATGAAGTCACTTAACAGAAAAATACAAAGCGCGCGCCTCATTTTCCCGCACAAAAAATTGCAGTCATCAGACTTTCTTCTCTTCTCTCTTCCATGGATTCTTTAGAAGTAACGCTATTCTCGAGCCTAACATCATTCTGCCATTAGATAAATAAATCCCCTCCACGCTTCCTTCATCCGCTTAGACGGTAAGCTGGTATTGACGCATGCAAAGGGACCGAAGCTGTTGTCGGCTTATTTCTAAATACCATCAGAACAGGGAACCATCGCTAAACTCCAACAGTGGGCAGTTATTGTTTTCAGTGTACTACTGCTCGAAGCACAGCCAAGTACCCCCAGCTTTCGCAAGAAAGGACGTAGGAAGAAAGAGGAAACGGGGGAGTGGGGGGAGGGAGGGGTTAAAATGAGCGTAGCGTCGAAATCCGCCAAGATTACCGTAAATTCCCTCTAAAACAACAAGAGATCAGCCTACATCATGTTATTACAACGTTTTTTATCCCTCTCAATTACTCTAAATTTATAATTAATAAACTCCACTCTTTCTCTTCTCCCTCTTCTTTTTTCCCTCTTTCTTTTTTCACGTTTTTCCCTTCTTTCTTATATTCCTTCCTTTCCTTCTGTTCCCTGAACACCACGGCCGTCAAACTGACGGGGTTCAGCCGTGGTGTTGAGCTAAGACGTATATGACTTAATGGACCAAAACGTCTTAACTCCAATTATTTTTTCCTATTATTTTCCTCTGCTTATACATCCTTTTTACTTTGGCACTCATCAACATCGATGCTACAATTGGTTTATACAGAAAGGATTAAAATCGCTTTCAACTCAAAATCAAATGATCAAAAAGCTATCTCAGACGATGTTTCGACGCCGATTCTGTTTCTGCTGTTTCGCTACTGCCTTTCCCCACTGTATTGATTCTTTGAAAATCAAAAACAACACCATCTATTGGCAAGGCTGTCGGTGGCTCCACGGGTTCTTCGAAAGCAAGCTGATGGCGGTTTTGACTTCCCGGTATGTGCCAGTAGCAATTTACCATTGAAACAAGTGCGGACTGGTTTTTCCATTAATAGAAATGCATTAGAGTAGCGCTTTTTGCCACCGTGCCACATCTGTTAGCGTTTTACTTGAAAAAATGTCGGAATTCCTCGAAAACATAGGAAAAATAGGTAAAAAATATGACTGACATGAAAATCCTTAATATGTCTCGGGCAGAAGAGTTGTTTCTGAGCACTGTTCGAAAATAGTATCAAAATTTAAGGGCCATACCGAATAGTATCAAAAATATCAAATATATCAAAAAAAAAATAGTACCAAAAAAATATCAAAATCGAATGAAAAATGGATGGATGAGTGAAATTGGTAAAAATTTTGGCCGTTGCTAGGCTGAACCAAACTTTTCAATTCAAGATTCCTACTGTACTAACGTGAAATGACCGCTGAATGGCCAAAGGAGGGACTAGAAGTATCCAGCAGCATCAGAATCAGTAATAACGGCTAAATGCAAACAAATCCACCGCGATGAGTACTTGCCGAGTGAACGTCGCGCATGAAAACGATGTTTCTCGGGAGCCGTTGAGGGTAACGAACCTGACGATCAACTGCACAGCACCACTAGTAAGATCTCAGGCCGATCACTGTGCTCCCCCGTCAAACGCTTTCGCTTCTCAACTTGACCAAAATGCGCCTTTTACGAACAGACGTGCAAAGCGGGCGAGCACCAAAAGCAATTCTTATCAGAAAGGCCAAAGACCGACTGCGACCAGGCAAGCTTATCATAACGAAGATGCCATAAAGTGTGTCCGCTTCATAGATGGGTCCAGGACGGCAGGAGGCGGAGGAGGTGGAGGAAGGGAGGGGAGAAGAAGGTTCCTTTGCCCCTTTCCCCAAGCACAGATACCAGCGCATCGAAAAAACCCGAGCTTAAAGCTAAAACTGAAGTAAACTAAAGCCTGAAGTAACTATAAGTAGCAGCGTACAACCCTGGTGCTAATTTTTGCAAAGTTCCAGGTTAGGAAGGGGATCCACTCAACCACACCTCCCCTCCCCTCACCCTCCCGCCCAGGAGTCCGTCCTGATCCGCTTATGGCCCACCTGACCTGGGGAAACCGTCCTCCAAAAGTTGTCGCAGTTTAGGGTCGACTAGCGAGGGAGATAGCGGAACGTCCAACGTAGCGACGACCGGGCGGAGAGGTGTAGCGGGACGACCAAAAGGCGGATGGGGAGAGGGGGGCTGAGACGGGGAAGGTGGGGCTGCCGATGTAGTGACGAACGGGGAAGGAAGAAGGGGAGTGAGGGAGGAAAATCGTCCCCTCCTCCCCTCCCCCCCCCC